GAATACCATGCTGTGCTACGACTTTGGTGCCATGAAGTCCGACTCGTGTCTGGTCGTGCAGGGGCGTGGGCCAGCGCATCATCGACCACCCGGCGATCAACGCCAAGTCCCTTAATGGCGAGCTCGACTACGCGCCGTACTTCTGCAAGGCTGGAAGTATGTATGCGAAATGTGGAAGGCTGCCAGACGTGATGGAATAAAGCTTGGCACATTTGCAGTGGCTCTGGTCCCAGGAGTACATTCTTGTCGACCCATCGTGGAGAGTGGCAGTCTGCCTCCCGGCCGAGACCGAGCAGACCTTCCCGAGCTTGAAGCAGCTGCCGCCGAACTACCGCCGCATGGATCACTTCCAGGCGCCGCCCGCGCCGAAGCCAGTGTCCATGGTCGACTACGTTGCCGGGCCCCCCGTGGCTGGGGCGGGCCCTGCGGCCAAGGGCATTTGTTCTGACGGGGCTGCGCCGGCATACGTCTCGACAAAACGGCGTGGACATGCGCCCCACTGGGGGCGCATCTTCCGCCGCCGTCTGCGACAACGCCGTGGGCGACGGCAACTGCTCCAGCACCGAGGGCGCCGCCCGCGGCATCGCAGAAAACCTTGGCCCCGCCGAGGGCAGCGCCTCAGTGCGCTGGCCGGCATTTCCCGCCGCCGTGGCCTCCCTGCGCTCGGCAGGCTCCGGCGCAGCCGCCGCCGCCTGCTCCGACGCACGCAGAGTTTCAGGGGAGGAGGGGTCTCCCGAGGCCCGTGGGCCCTCCGAGGACGAAGACTCCGCTCGTGGCTCAATCTGGAATGGAGAGGCCGAAGTGGAACCGCCGCGTTCTTGCACCTGGGCAGCCAGAGGCGGCCCCAGGAGCGTCGTCCTCTGCTGCACCATCAACTCCGCCGCCTCCAGATCAGTCAGGCATGACGAGCCAGTCGGGCACAGAGGGGCATGGTTCAGTGGCAGGTGGAGTCAGCCGGCGCGCGGAGGAAGGGACCGAGAAATTCGCGGCATCGGCATCGTCGATTGCTCCAGCGCTTCTCGCGGTACTGCCCGCGCCATCGACGCCAACGCCTGCGACGACTACGGCGACGCCCGTGCCATCAACGCCGCCGCCTGCGCCGCCTGCGGGGCCGCCGGCGCCGCCGACGACACTGCCGGCACCTCCTGCGGGACCGCGGGCACCATCGACTCCGCCACCTGCTCCACCGACCGCTCCACCGCCGCCCAGCTACTCCGACGAGGGGACCAGGAAGCGGGCGGAGGAGGCGGCGAAGAGAGGGACAGCATCTGCTCCCTCGGCCCAGCACGGGGAGAGAGAAGAGACGCCTGGTGGTGCAAGGGCAGTGCAGGGGCAAGCGAGGGCAAGGCTGGTGCGGCTCTTCCCGACTGAGTCGGGGGGGCCAGAAGCGAGCCTGGGAAGTGCGTCGATAACATAAGATCGGTTCCGCGCGGATTTGGCGTCTTGTCGCCGTGGCATGCGGCCGAGCTCTAGACCCGCAACCTACTCAATGCCGAGATGCCGAGACACGTGAGGATCTACGACTTTACACCAAGTGTCCAGTGCTGACTTGATCAGGGATCTGACCGTCAGGCTAGCGGAGGTGGCGAATGCCGACGCGGTGGGTGGGTGTGGGGGGGTAACTACGTTACCATTCGTCGAGGGCTGTGCTGCTTTCGCAGCGTTGCTGGAGAGGGCAGGGATACAGTCGCGTTTCGTAGGCCGAAGTGTATGTGTACGCGTACGCGCTGCAGGACCGCCCGATCGAAGAGCGGCGCCGTGGAGCGCATGTGACGAGCTGAGCGGGCAACCGCTACAAGGGCCTCCATGGCCCGACGTTGACGTAGCTCTTTTAGGCGACTCGACGTGCATCCTCTGCACGGAGGAGGGTAAGGCCCGCGGCGTCGGCATGTTCAACCAGCATCTCAGCGGCGCGATTGGGGGCTTCTACGGCTACCGCGGCAAGGCCAGCGAGCTGCAGGACAGCCATGATGTGGCTGTCAAGTCGCAATCCGCCGGTTACATGAACTTCGGGCGCCCCAACTACTTCAGCTTCGGAGTGCGACGCAGCGCCCGCTTCGTCGCGTGGAGCGGAGATGGTTTCGACGCTGACGGGGACCATGCGCTTCGCGGGACGACTCAGGACGCAGACGGTCGACAATACTTCGAGCTGGAGAGGGGGGTTTTGAACCAAGTCGTTCGCCTGGTTGACGCGCGGGCGATGCTCTCGAATATTCAGAACACTTACGTCGTGGCGCGTCGGCCGTGGCGAACAAACGCATGTTGCGCTGGGGGGGGCTGGGCGTGCCTCGCAGGATGCTCTGGGTTCGTGGCTCGGAGCTGTGCCGGCGCGGCTTTGAACCTCGGGGCGACCCGGGGCATGTCCTTGCCAATCTCCCAGGCCACGGCTCGGACAACGAGGCCTTCGTTGCGACGACTGCCGCTTGCGTCGTTCGGGTGGGCGCCGCCACTGGCGAGCCGCGACCCTCGCTTGTCGGCCGCGGTGTGGACTGTGACCGGGGGTGGGGGGGGCCAACTACTCCTGTCCAAATGCACCCAGTCCGAGTTGATGGCCGACAGCCTGCTGCATGGGAGTATGATCGATGACGCGCGACGCTACAGGCAAGGATCGATGGCTGACTCCAAGAATTGGCTGGCCTCAAGGATCAGGACAGCGTATGTTCTGTTCCCGACCGAGAGCTATGTTGGTAACTGTATTATGGAATGGCTGGCTGCCCGCGGGCTTCGCGCCGCGCGCGTCGAGGGCGCGACTCTCCTCGACCTCTTCGACCTGTCCAATATGGGCCTCGGAGTCGCAGTATCTTGACGACGCCGCTTGCACTTCGTGAGGGCTGCCGCGAAGCCATGACTGGGCGAGGGTGCCTCACTTACTCGCGCGGGCAGGACCCGAACCGCAGGTTCTGCATTCTCAACGCGGGCGTGTTCGTTCCCTCGAGGGCAGTGGATGGCGGACGTCCACGGGCGCTCCTGCTGAAGGTGTATACGTTTTGGTCGACAGCGAGAGGATCCAGTACATCTATGCCAGCTACTCATGGCCTTGGGAGATGTTCGGCGATGGTTTACGTGCTACTTGTGGTATTCAGGTCGTATCACCGCCGCGCAGCGAGGGAGGTTTTGAGCCAGTGGACATCGGGACGCGCGACAGGAAGCAATATTGCTGCAAGAGCCCCGAGCAGGTGTACAGGAAGGTTCTACTTCACTTCCCCCGCTCAGACTCACCAGAAGGCCCTGTGGGTTTACTCGACGAGGACTGCCAAAGCACAAACGGGATTCAAGTGCGACTGCAAGCCGATCGTTGGCCCGATCCCGCTGTAAGCCCGCGCGGACATTGCCGCGCCTGAGACCGAGCCGCGTGCGGCTTGGGAGATCAAAGGCGAAGTCAAAACGCTCGCTTTTCAACTGGGTATCCATGACACCGAGAGCTTCGAATCCAGGAAGCTGCTGCTCAAGGTGAAGGCCCGATTTAGATCCCGGAGGCAGAGCTACATAAGACAGAATATCAAGTTCAATCGCAAAACGCAGATCGACGCCCTCACGAAATTCTGCGAGAACTTCAATGCGCAGTGGCCCAATTGGCGATTCTTCACTGGACCTGCAGACGGAGGAGTTCTTCAGCCAACTCACATAGACGTCGATGGAGTAAACATGCGTGCGTGCCGGGATTTGGCAGGCATCAGCGGCGACAGCGGCATCCCAATTGCGAACGTCGCCCCAGATATTCGGTGCACGCGCCGCAGTGCCGACGATTTCTGTGAGCATCAATGGATCAACAAAATCAGAGAGAAGGAGCGAAAAGAAACGGAGGCCACATATACGGAAGGAGAAGCGTCTCGCGACTATGTCGCGTGCGTTCCGGCTCGCAGCAAAGCGCTGGCGCATGGGGGCGCGAACCATAAGCAAGAGCGTTAAGGAGGAGGAGGAGGAAGAGGAGGAGGAGGAGGAGGAAGAGGAGGAGGGAGGAGGAGGAGGAGGAAGAACAGGAGGAGGAGGAGGAGGAGGAGGAGCAGGAGGAAGAGGAGAAGGAGGATGATGATGAGGAGGAGGAGGATGAGGAGGAGTGGGAGGAGGGGGATGAAAAGGAGGGGGAGGAGGGAGGAGGAGGAGGAGGAGGAGGAGGAGGAGGAGGAGGAGGAGGAGGAGGAGGAGGAGAGGAGGAGGGAAGAGGAGGAGGAGGAGGAGGAGGAGGAGGAGGAGGAGGAGGAGGAGGAGGAGGAGGAGGAGGAGGAGGAGGAGGAGGAGGAGGAGGAGGAGGAGGAGAGGGAGAAAATGACAACAAGGAGGAAAAGGCATCACAGGAGCACTCTTGGGGCCTCCCGGGAGCCTCCTGATGGCCTCTTGGGGGCCCCTTGGGGGGCCTCTTGGGGCCTCTTGGGCGCCTCTTAGCTTTTGGAGGCCATTCTTGAGGTTCCTCTGGCCGTTTTGGTGCCCTCTGAGAGCGCTTTAAGGCCGTCCTTGGGCCATCTTGGGAGGCTCTTGGGCGATATTGGGGTTTGCTGGGGCTGGCTTGGGGCCTTCTTTGGGGGTCGAATGGGTTGTCTTGGGGCTATATTGGAGGCCTCTTGGACCGTCTTGGGCGGTCGGAGACCCAAACAGGCGAGAAGCTCCAAATCTTTGCGGCAGCCAGCAGGACATCATTTTTTGGGGTCTTCTCGGGCTCCCCAGGAGGGCCTCTTGGAGCCCTCGTTGGCCGTTCTGGAAGCCTTTATAACCGTCTTGAGGCCATGTGGGGGCCTCTTATGCTATCTTGGACCATCTTGGGCCGTCTTGGTGTCAGCGTTGCTGTCTTGGATGCCGTCTTGAGAGCCACCTTCGATGTCTGGAGGCGGAAGAGAGCGCCTGACAATTCAGGGGGAAGGCCAGTTTCGGAGGGACGCGTGTGTCGAGGGGGGGGGCCGGCCCTAGAAAGCATGAAGAAGACTTCCAGATAAGATGACGAGCATTCTAACATGCTCACTCCGTGTAGGTCCGGTTGAGGATCTTCTTGAAATTCGCTCCCAAAGGAGCTGCGGGACGTCGTAAGACCTGATCGTAGCACACGGGTTGTCATTGACAGGGATAGGGACGAGGCGATGCGGATTGAATTCAACATCTCTTTGTTCGACCTCCCGTGCAAGTACCTGAAACTTGGCGCGTGGGACAAGTACGGAAAAGACCGGGTTATTAGCAATGGCTCTTTTGAGTATTTCCCCTTGGGCAGCACGGGAGATGTTGTCGGCTCCGCTTACACCGCGGAGGAGATCGCGCTACTGGAGCAGGCCGACGTGGCAGCGGACCTCACAGACGCCGAGATCGCCGAGGTGGATGCCGACTGGTCTTCGAGCAGTGATCATTTCAAGCACCAAGACTTTTGGGCAGCGGTGACCTTTCACGATTTTACCTTGGTGAATTTCTATGCCGAGTGGTGTGTCCATTGCAGGCAGTTTCATCCTATGTGGATGGAGGCAACGAGAAGGATTAGCGAGAATTTGCATTTTACAGACGGCAGTGGGCGTTCATCGACGGTAAAGTTCCTGAAGGTGAACTGCGTGGACTTCGGCGAGCACTGCACGGCGGCCAGGATACAGAGCTTCCCGACCCTGCGGCTATACAAGCGAGATGGCACCTTCGAGGCCTTCCAGCAGCACCGCACCATCGAAAATATCATCAGCTTCCTGACCGCGTCTGTCAGGAAGAGCCACATGATTACGGCCCAGCATCATACGATCTTCAGGGAGGGCTGCAGGGTCGCCGGTCACATCGACGTTCCTCGCCTGCCGGGCGCCTTCCACCTCCAGGCGGAGCCTTTTGCTGCTGGGCTCGAGCTCAATCCCGCTCTCACAAACGTGTCACACATGGTGAACCACCTCGCCTTCTGCTCCACGGAGAGATCCTGTGGGGTTGGCTGGCTGAGGTCTGTGACGGGGATCCCGTTCAACATGAAGCTGCACGTCATGCCTATGAATGCCAAGGCCTTTACGGTGCAGCACTTCCATGAAGCGCCCGAGCACTACATGAAGGCGATGAGCGTCAAACTGAAAGACGAGCCGGTCATCTATCAGGTGACGCACACAAGCAGAACGCGGAGGCTCGCGAACAAGAGCGTTGTGCCCAAGGCGAGATTTATCCTGCTGCTTGCGGCAAGTCCCGCCGCCGTGCCAGCAGCACAGCGCGTCTGGGTGGCGACTGTTCGCGTGGTGCGCACGGGAGGCCGTAATTACCGTGCGACACCGCGTGTCCCGAGGCTTGGAAGAGCCGTAACATGTGGCACGTTCTCCCGCGTTGTGTCGGGGGTCCTTGTTCTCGTCTGCGTCGACTTTCTCTCTTTCTCGGTGGCGACGATAAGGGCGAATAGCCCAGGGGCGGGCATTGCACGCATTCGCCCGGGAGCCTTGTCGAAGACATAGATCATCGGCGCCCCTGGATACATGTATTGCTCTCTCCTGGGCTATCCGTCCCTATCGTCGCCTCTGATTTTCGTCCGTCCATTTCTCCAGCTCCTGTGAGCTAGTCTTGGGGTACTACTGGGCTCTCCGGGTGCCCCCTGCGAGGGAGGAGAAGGAGGAGGAGGAGGAGGAGGAGGAGGAGGAGGAGGCGGAGGCGGAGGCGAGGAGGAGGAGGAGGAGGAGGAGGAGGAGGAGGAGGAGGAGGAGGAGGAGGAGGAGGAGGAGGAGCAGGAGGAGCAGGAGCAGGAGCAGGAACAGGAGCAGGAGCAGGAGGAGGAGGAGGAGGAGGAGGAGGAGGAGGAGGAGGAGGAGGAGGAGGAGGAGGAGGAGGAGGAGGAGGAGGTGTGGTCCTCTTGGCCGTCTGGGGGTCTCTTGAGGCTGTTGTGGGGCCGCCTTGGGCCGTCGAGGGGCTCGCCTTGGGCCGTCTCGAGTCCCTCCCGGAGGCCCTCCGGGGCCACCTTGGGGGCTCTCTTGAGGCCGTCCTGGGCCGTCTAGGGGGCCCTCGTGGCCTGCCTCGAGGCCAGAGGAGCGCATCCCGTTTTCGCTTGAGGAGGCCAGAGGCCAGAGGCCAGGGGAGGCTGGAGCGGCTGGAAGCCTCCCCTGGCCAGAGGCCAGGGGAGGCTTCCAGCCGCCCAGGAGCCGGAGGGGCCCTCCCTCCCCCGAAAGAGATTGGGGGGTTCCCCCCTCGTGCTCGTGCCGCGCGGGCTGCTGCTGGGCCTGCTGTTCACGGGTGCCCTGCAGGCCCCTCCTCGATCGATTCCTTCCTCGTTCATCATCCCTCCTGCTCCTCGTCGTCGTCCTCCTCGTCGTCGTCCTCCTCCTCCTTCGCCTCCTCCTCACTCGCACAATGGAAGATTTTCCCCCCCACCCTGGCGCCGGAGAGCGACGAAGCGACGACGACGAAGACGCCCTGCCACTGGAGCTGGCAAACGACGATGACGAAGACGACGACGAAGACGACGAGGACGACGATCACGATGACGACGATGACGACGACGAGGACGAGGACGAGGACGACGGACGAAGGACGACGGACGACGGACGACGCATTTCGGGCGACGGAAGAGGGACAACTCGGGACGACGGACTACGGACGACGGACGACTACAGACGACCGACGACCGATGACCGGCAACGACGACGACGATGACGACGACCACGTCAAAAGACGATGACGACGACGACGTCAAAGACGACGACCAGCGACAGGTTGGGGTTGATCCCCTCCTCGCGAAGGGGGGGGGGTTGTGCATGGGGTTTCTGTGTGAAGGGGGGGTCCCGTTCGCTGGGTGCATGGGATGGTGTCTTCGGGGTGGATGGGTGGGTGGTGGTTTTCGACGTGTCGGGAGATGTTTCGCATCCCAGCGCCCGTGAAACGCGCTTTCTCAGACGCTGTCTTGGAGCATAATTGGGTTATTTTGTGACTCTCTTGGGCCGTTTTCGGGGCATCTCGGAGGCCTCTAGGCTTGTCTGGAACTGGGGCAAATCTGTCACTTGGGCCTTTTCGGGGCCCACTTAGGCCATCTTGACGCCCTCCTGGGCCATCCTGAGGGCCTCTCGGGCCGTCTTGAGGCCATCTTGGGCCGTCTTGGGCACATCTCGCGCACTCTAGGAGGCATCTTGGGCCATCTTGGCAGGCTTCGGGGCCTGCCTCGGCCGTCTTGAGGTTCGGGATCGCGGATCCCTGGTCTTTAACCAGAGATCGTGGCATCGGGAGCGCGGATCCCTCTTCCTTGCACGGGATCGTGGCCTCGGGAGCGCGGATTGACTGCACTGTTGCAAGGGATCGTAGCCTGAGGCTGCGATCCCTTGTCTAAGAACTGTTCAGAATTCCTCAGACAGCAGAGCTATCTGAAAGATTCAGGTGAATTCTGAAACTTCCTGACGGATTCTGGAAAGTCTCCATACAACTGGCTTGGATAAGTAGGTCGACCCTGCCAGCTCAAGGGTACCATTGTGTCCTGTGCCTCGCGACACGTGCCTTCTACATTCCCATGGCAATGTGGCCCCCGGAAGGGTCTTGTGTCCTCTCGCGTGTCCTGTCCAATCAAGGCCGACTGAACAACCCACCAAACATCGAACCACGAGAAGATTCTGCCGAGCCTCGGGAGCGCGGGCCCGTCGTTTGTGATTTGGGATCGTGGCCTCGGGAGCGCGGGTCCATGGCTGTTTGTTAGGGACGGTCGGGGCGCGTCCACGCGCGCAAGCGTTTCTGAGAGCGGGGGGTTCCATAAGACGACTACAGAAACCCGACCAGGCAGCCCAGGGGGTTCTACCAGGCCTCAAGCGTGCCAAAGGGCACGGTGGCCGATGTACGACTTCTCGCCCATGACCGTGATCGTCGAGAGGAACGAGAAGTCGCTGCTTCGCTTCGTGCCGAAGCTCTTTGCCATTCTGGGCGGCGTCTACACGGTCTTCGAGCTCTTCAGCGGCACCGTGGAGACCACGGCGACCTTCGTGAAGCAGAAGCTCGGCAAGGACACCTGAGGGCAGAGCTTCTCTGCACACCCGCGCCCCTGCACTCTCCCAGGCTGGCCCCAATGGGGGGGGCTCTCCCCGTGATGGCCCGGCGCCCAGCGACCGCTTGCGGCCCCCCGCTGCGCCCACAGCCCGCAGGAAGGCGGCTCTGCCACCCGCCCACGACTTCTGCGCCTCACCGGCCTCGGTGCCGCGGGGGGATGGCGGCTGCGGCTGCCGCGGGCCTGGCGCCCACTTCTCTCTATCGGCCGGGCCGGTCCGCCGCCGTGGGGGGGCCGGTGGCGTCTGCGACTCCGTGCGCGCGGCTGCCGAGTAGAAACGGCCAAAGGCGGATCGTGCCGGCGGCATCGGCCACATCGCTGCTTCTGGCTCCAGGCAGCTTCTGACGGCGGAGGCGTCTCGGTTCTCAGCGTCAGTCTCGGGAGGCCCCCGAGGCCCCTCGGGGGCCGCAGGAGCGCAGCGAGGGGCTTCGACAGACCTGGGATGTAGCCCAAGGGTTGCCCAACAAGGTCCCATGAAGAACGCAGGAGAGTCACCACCCACCAAACGACCCCAACCCAACCCGAAGGCCCAAATTTATCCTCGATTTCCAGTGGGGGGGGGGTCGGGGAACACTGAAAAAACCCATGGAACCCGTACCCCCCCCAACCCGAAATTCGATTCAAATTCGGGTCTTCGGGTTGGGTTGGGGTGGTCTGGTAGGTAGTCAGAGAGCCTCCCATGCGTGCCCGATGACGCCACGGTAGACATCCACGACGGCCCTAGAATCCACAGCTTTCCCAGAGGCCCTACTCTGCAGCCCTGCTGCGCGAAACGTCGGCTCTAAACGCGCTCGATGAGAACCGTCGCGCGCGCGAGGCGCGCACAGGGTTGAATCCGCCCTTCACCCTTGCCACACAATTGCACATGGTAAAGTTTGGGTGTCGCGCATATCGAGAAAGACAGGCGCGAGCCCCACTTCGAAAAAAGGAAAGGGTCCCATACGCGTGATTGTCGCAGGCCGTTGAGACGAAAGAGCGCGGCGCTAAGGCGAGAGCCGCATCCGCGTAACTTTCGCAGATGTTTGCGGCGACTGCGCGGCGCCCAGGCCAGCGCCACATTTGGAAAACCGCCAGACCGGAGAGGATCTAACGCTCTAAATTTGTTTGGCGCTGGTATTCTTTCTCCTCGGCAGACATCGGTGCCCTGTCGGCCCTTGCCGATCATCCTGCAGGCCTGCACGGGAGGGCCTCGAGCGACCTCGGCTTGGCCTACTGTGTGGTCTCGCCGCATCGCGTTCTCGTGCTGCGTGCCCCTTGTCACGCCCCCCTCCCCTCGGGCCGGGCGAAAGGGGGGGATTGGGAAAGGGGGGGTTACGAAATTTGCTGCATGCAGCATTTCGGCTGATTTCGGCCTCACCGAGGGGCCCATTCCTCGATACATGGGCGCCTCCCGGCGCCGGGAGGCGCCGGGAAAATCAGCTACGTGAGCTGATTCTCAAACCCCCCCTTTGCTATCCCCCCCTTTCGCCCGACCCGATCCCCTTCCGGGGCAGGGGCGCACGACCACCGTGCCGCGCCCATCCCTGCAGCGGCGGCAGGCTTTTGAGAGGAGCGTGCGCGGCGCCGATGCGACGGCCCGCAACGGCCTGAGAGCGGGCCGCCCTGCGTCCGTGCAGCCGTCGGACGTCCCACGCCTCGGGATCCTGCAGCACACCTGGCAAGAAGCGGGCTCGTCAACGGGCGCCCCACGAGAGTTCACTGTCTCCCGATTGGCCCGCGGAGCCGACTCGGGGTGTGCCCATCGATTTCTGATGGCAGGACGGCCTATCGCATGTGCCTGCGACAGTGCGTTGTGGAGTCTCTGGTGGTGCGACGAGGTGGAGCTGTCTCCAAGGAAGCCGGGCGGAGGAGGGCGGGGAATGAGGCGAGTAGGAGGAGGAGGAGGAGGAAGAGGAGGAGGACGAGGAGGAAGACAAATAATATCAATAATCAGAGTAATCATGAGATATGGAGAATGACACATAAGAGAAATAGTAATACGAATGACAATAAGACGAACCATAATAAGGATACGAGTCATAACAAGAACAAGTAAAATAATAACACTTATACGAACATTATTAATACTATTACTAATCTTAACAATATTACCAACAAGAATAATCATAGTACCTAATAGTAATAGTAACGCAAATAATACAACAAACTAAGTATAATAAGAGGAGGATGATGATGAGGAGGAGGAGGAGGAGGAGGAGGAGGAGGAGGAGAAGGAGGAGGAGGAGGAGGAGGAGCACGAGATGGTGGAGCGGGAGTCCTGGCCGCCGAAATGGGGTCCAAATAGATTGGGCTGGGCCAGTGGATCGCGCCGCATTGCTGATGCATCGGCGATGCGGCCCGATGCGGAGCCCGATGCTCTCCACGCCGACGCCGCCGATGCATCGCCAGCGTCGCGGGTGCATCGCCGATGCATCGGCGGTGCCTCGGCGACGTCGGCGCGGCCCACCGACCCCGTCAGTTTCGGCCCTACTCTTGGGCGGCCGCTGCGGAGAGGGGGGGCGGAAGGGGCCCAGCGAGGGTGGGCGACAGGCCCTCCTACTCCCTGGAGCAGATCACGGGCCAGGTGATGCAGGAGCTGGAAGAGGCCCGCGGGCGCGTCGTCGTCGTCGTCGTCGTCGCCGCCGCCGCCGCCGCCGCCGCCGCGTCGTCGTCGTCGTCGTCGTCGTCGTCGTCGTCGTCGTCGTCGTCGTCGTCGTCGTCGTCGTCGTCGTCGTCGTCGTCGTCGTCGTCGTCGTCGTCTGGCGTCGGCGTCGGCGTCGGCGTCGGCGTGGGTGTGGTCGTTGTCGTCGTCGTCGGAGTGGTCGTTGTCACGTTGTCGTCGTAGACGGCTGCGCCGGTGCTGGTTTTGGCCGAGGGTGTTCCAGGGAGTTCGATGGAGGCAGGCGCCGTCGCCGCCAGCGCCCGGCTGGCTGCGAGGCCCGAGCGGTCGTCGCATGGCGCTGTTTTCTTCTTCGGGCCCACCACCAGCAAGCCTTAGTCGGCACCCTTGCCAGGAAGGAGGGCGCCGCGCCGCGCGCGGCTACAGGGCATTCTGCTTGTTCGGCCTGCCCGCCTCCGAGGCGCCGCCGCGCACAGGTTTGAAGGCGCCGTCGCGCCTGGGCAGGGCGCACTGTGATTCCCTTCCTTCCCTCGGGCCCGCCCCCCGGGGAAGATGAGCACGGGGCCGCCGCGCGCGGAATGGAGGCGCCGACGCGCGCGGACCGAGCGCCCAGTTTCTTCTTCCTCGGGCCTGCCGCTGCGGCACCGCCGCGCGCGGACAGCGAGGCGCCGGCGCGTGCAGAGGTGAATGCGCCGCCCCTCCTCCGCGGGCCCCGCCTCCGAGGCACCGCCGCGCGTCGAATGAAGATGCCGCCGCGCGAGAACCGAGCGCCTTTGTCCCCTTCCCCTTGCCCCTTGCCTGGGTTTTGCTGCGCAGGCTGACGCTCCGCGTGTCGGATCGCCCACTGCAGGCTGGGCCCTCGCGTGGCTCTGGGTTGGCCGGGTGCATTTTGCCTGCGCGCTGCTGTTCTCACATCATCCTGGCTGTGGCTGATGTGACCGCCCTGAGCCCGTCAGGCAGAAGGTCCAACTGGGCACCGCGGCGCGCGGAACAGAGGCGCCGCTGCGCGCGACAAGGCTGCAGCGCTTGCAGTCTGCTCGAGTGCCGCCTACGATCCGATTCGATGCGATTCGATTCGCCAGCTGGGGCCACGGTTCCAATTCGATGCGATCCGGCTCCACTCACCCGCATCGGCCAGAGCCAGCCGGAAGCGGGGCGCGGCGATTCGATACCGATCGGATTCGGGACGATTCGCTGGCGATTCGATCCGCTCTCGATCCGATCCGATTCCGCGATCCGATCCAGCGCAGACCTGCGCGTCTACGGAGGGCACCGCCGCGCCTAGGAGTCTAGGCGCCGCGGCCCGCGCGGAGAGAGCGAAGTGTTGCTCTTCCGCGGGCCCGCCACCTAAAGCTTCGACTGGGCGCCGTCGCGCTTCAGCCGAGGCGCCCCCGCGCACGGATGGAGCGCGCGGTTTGATGCGTCCTCGGGCCCGTTAGCAGAAAGATCTCCCGCCGTGCATCGCCGTGCGCGGCATGAAGGCGTCGCCACGGGCGGACAAAGTGCCTTTTTTTGGGGGGCGGCCATAGCGACCCGTGGTTGTGGACTACGCGCTTGTCGATCTGTCCAGGGGTTCCGCCAGAATGGCATGCTCACCGGTCGCGTCGAAACGTCGCGTCGCGCCCACTTGGGTGTGAAGCCCGACGGGAACGGCAGAGCGGCATCGCTGCTTGTCGTCCGACGGACGGATCCAGAAAGTATTCAAAGTGCTCCGATTGCAGTCACTTTCTGGAATTTGTATGTAAGTCAGCAGTGACAATTTCGACGTGCATTGTTAGCGAAGGGATTTGTTGGGAGAGAAGTCTAGCAGTGATTGCGGCTTCACTTGTTATTTCAATATTTCCCCTCGCAGGCCACGCTGGAGGGACCAGCTTGATTGGCACAATGATATCATGACGGATCATGTGACCAATTTGCATGGTCGTGCTTTATCGCATTGCCCCGCGGTTTCTGGCAACGCGGGCGCCATGGCCAAAGACTCTGAGAGAAGATGCGAGTCTCAACCTCCAGCGTAATACGCATCGTTCGTGTGCCACTACCTGGTTACACCAGCACAGCACCTGCCGCGCTGCGACGGAAAAAGAAAGCGTCGCTGGCTAGTGCCAGGGGGCGCGCGCTTGTGGAAACGGCAGCGACCTTCCAGGTATTTGTTCCAACGCTCTCTCCCACCGCCACCCTGCCCCCCAGACCGCTGACGATGTTTTCGCAACGTGGATCTCCAGAGGTTGGCACCTTTCCTGGGACCCATTTTTCATTTTGAGTCGTCTTTGATGTCCCTTGTGCTCGGTAAGGGCCCCCCGTGGCCGAACATTGCCCAAAGCTTCCCGTCGTTTTTGTTTTCACGACGCGAGGGAGTCATAGTCCCCCGCCTTCCCCCTCCCCCAAATTCCCGAATAAGAGCCGTTGCTTCGAAGAAGCCGTGGGTGCGACTCTTCCGCCTCCGCCTCCTCCTCCTCCTCCTGCTCCTCCTCCTCCTCCTCCTTCTCCTCCTCCTCCTCCTCCTCTTCCACCTTCTCCTCCTCCTCCTCTTCCTCCTCCTCCTCCTTCTAGAAGACCTTCACGAGGTCGTCTAGGGGTCGTGTGTAAACAGGTGGGACCAGACAGGGCGGACCGCAAGATTCCACCAGCGGGCCACCCGTGACCCTCAGACCCACTGGGATTTGGTCGGAGAAATGCGTTCGCGGATCAACATTCTATTCCCATGCTCCGAGGCGGGAATATATCCATAACCACCGCCTGGGGGATCGATCTTCGCGGACCTCCACAGGCGGTGGATATGGATATATTCGGGCCCCCGGGGGCCAAGGTAGATCCATATCCACCACCCGCCGGGGCACCAGGACGTCAGTTCCCAGGCGGTGGATCTGGATCAATCCCCGCCTCGCACATACGGGGCGCGCTGTCTTTTTGATTTGATGTGGCTTTGGCTTATTTCGGAGTTCCCGCCGTGTTAGGGGCGCGTCAGTTAGGCAGCCCCTCCCCCAGCACACCGCACGTTGCGGCGGACGACGCTCAGGGCAGCCCCCCCTGCCGCCCGCGCGCGCCCGCGCCCCCGCCCGCGAGGCGGAGAAGTGGAGGACCGACGTGCCGGAGCGTTACAGCGGCGCGGGGGGTGGAGCATTGAAGGGATGGAGGGGTGATGTAGCCACGAATGAGGGATGATGCTGCTGCTCTTGCTGCTGCTCTTGCTGCTGCCAGTGATGATAACGAAGGTGATGCTGCTGCGGTTGCTGTTGCTGTGTTCTGCTGCTGAGTACGAGATGAGGATGAGGACGTGGACGAGGATGAGGATAAGGATAAGGAGAAGTAGCTGCCAACGCTCCCCCGCCTCCAAAGGCCCCCCTTGCCGCGTGCTCTCTCTCGCTCTATCTCACTGTCTCTCTCGCGTTCAGTCTCGCTGCCTTCCTTTGGGCGCTCGTGGTGCCCGGCTGGTGTCGCCGCGCGCCGGGCGCGACTGCCTGCAGCGGGTCACCTTCGCACGGGTCTTTGCGGCACGTGCTTGTCTTCTTGGGACTTTGCTCAGAGCGTGCGGACGGATATCGGACGGGGCTAGGACGAGGACAAAATCCGTTCCAGAGCGTTCCGGCATGCTCTCAGAGCGTTCCAGAAAGCTCTGAGAAGGCCGCGACGCCCGATAAATACATCTTCCAGAGCCGCCAGATCTCAAAGACTCTCGATTCATCCTCACCCGAATCTGTCTTCGTCCTGGCCTCGTCCTGCGATATGTGCGCCCTCCTTCAGGGGAAAGGGCGTGCGCTCCAACCAGGCTCGGTCTCCCCCCGATGGAGGCGCGAAGGTGGCCGCGCGCGGCGCGTCGCGGCCGCGGGCCAGGGAGCTGCCCTTCTCCAGGGCGGCCTCGCGAGAGGGCGCGAAGGGAGCCGCGCGCGGCGTCTCGCGGGGCGCGGCGCGCGAGGTGTGGTGGCCGTGGCGTGCACGGTCGGACCGAGGCAGAAGATCGAGGTCGGCTCGGGGAGGGTACCCTGATGTTCTCCGTGCTCGTCGGGTCTTCTCGTGCATCCTGGGGGAGGGTGCCCTCGAGAGCTCTTCGGTTCTGGCCGGCGGCGGGCCTCGTGCTCTTGAAGGATGCTCTTCTGCCCCAGATCAGTCGGAGGTTGATAGACCTCCCACCCTGACACGTCGATTGGCGAATTGGCCGTTCTCGGTTCGCGAGAGGGCGTCGCGGCCGTCATTTTTGCGGGTCCAGGTCCGTCGGTTTCGGTCCCAGGCTGTTCTCACTACAGGGAGGTTTACTCAAGGGAGGTCTGTCCACCGCCGAATCAGGTGCACCGAGAGAGGGAGTGCTGAGCGGGTGTGCGGGGGCGCTGCGTCGTCACTCGGGGCACGCTCGTGGCGCCCCTCTCTTGGGGGGGCAGGCAGCAGCTTCATGCGCCGCGAGCTGAGCCTCGTGGAGCGGGAGGCAGACAGGCGGCCCCGCTGGTCCTCGCCGCCCTGCTCCTCCAGAGCTGCTGCTGCTGCTGCAGCTGATCCTTCAGTCCTGCTCCTCGCTCTCTTCCGCCGCCCCCCCCCCCTCTCGTCAGTGGCCCTGGCGAGGCTGGGGGAGAGGGTGCCGCAACGCGCCCGTGGGTGCAGACCCCGATTTGTCGCAGGAGGGAGCAGGCACAGGTCACCGTCGATGTCCTAGACCAGATGCGAAAATATGGGAGATGGGAGAAGACGGAAGTTCAGAACATACCAAACATATAGGGAATCCTGGCATTCGTGACTGTTTATTCGTGTGCCCCTGGGCCCCATTCATTGTCGGGCTGCTGCTCCTGGGGTTGACTGGCGGCGTCTAGGCGGCAAGGGAGCGGCGACTGCGAGCACGGAGCCGCCGGATCGCCAGTCAGACCCAGACGACGGGTGACGACGAGGCGGCGACGGCGAGCACGGAGCCGCCAGACCGCCAGCCAGGCCCAGTTTTTTGTTCAGACACGTGTGCACACATCTGTATATATGTATGTATGTATGTATGTAGGTAGGTAGGTAGGTAGGTAGGTAGGTAGGTAGGTATGTATGTATGTATGTATGTGTGTATGCATGTATACATATACATATCAGTGATTACAGATGTGCATGTGTATGTACACAATATAGTTGCAAACGCACACACACCTGTACATCTATAT